TAACCAGTTAGCTATGAGTTCAGCTGGGCGTGGTGCATAGCCACGCAATGCACTCCAGCACGTTATTTGGTCAGGGAGGTCCCATCTCAAACAGTACAGGATCCTTGTGATGGGAGTTATCTGTCAGGTAGATACTGCAAATGAGCATTGAAGACTACTTCTCAAACCCTGGTTAACTCCGTCCCTCGTTCAGAACATATCAATACCTACACACCAATCAGTGAAGTCCACCAATATCGAGGCAGCTGCCCCGTTCAAAGACAACGGGAGTTTATATCAGCACTTTACACACAGAGAGATGCAAGCCAAACAATTTGACTGAAACAGTCAGTATGACCACAGGGCTGTAAATAAGAGGCATTCAGTAGCAGCTGAGGAAGTAACAAAGCCTTAAGAAACTCACCACCACATCGCCCTCCTGAGGAAGGTTGTTTGCTGGTAGCCTACTTTTCTCCTCATTGTTATAGTAGAGAGCTCCATCATTTCTCATCACCAGGCTGTGGACATCCCGACCAAGTGGAATTTGATTCAAGTTTGCTTTCTGGGTTGCAACTCCAATACCCCAAATCCCTAAAATGTGACAGTAACACAGTAAGGAAAAAAAAAAACATTCTTTTGAAGACTATCTGACTGAAGAGGACAGCATAAAGAATTTTAACTAGTACCATGGTGGTACTATCAGTAACTATCTCCTGGAAATACCAGAGCTGTTGTGGGTTAGCTCTGGTAGGCAGTTAAGCACCATCCAGCCAATCACTCCCTTCCCCCCACAGGCCCCAGTGGAACAAAGAAAGAGGAAAGGAAGAGTAAAACCGAGAAAACTTGTGGCTAAAGATAAAAATTATTTAATAAGAAGAAGAAAAAGAAGAAAAAGAAATCAAACCAAAGTGATGCTATGGCAATCACTCACCACCTCCCATGGGTAGACCGATGCCCAGCCAATTCCCAAGCAAAAAATGGCTAACCTCCGTAAATCCCCTCCTCTCCCATTTTTTCCTGAGCATGACAGTATGTGGTATGGAATATCTCTTTAGTTAGGTTGGGTCATCCACCTGCTTAAGTCCCTTCCCAACCTCTTGTGTAACCCTAATCTTACTCACTGGAGGGGCAGAGTGAGAAAGAGAGAGAAACAGCCTTGATGCTGTGCAAACACTGCTCAGCAATAGCTAAAACATTAGTGTGTTATCAGCATTGTTTTGGTCACAGATCTAGAACACAACACCACAGCAGCTGCTGTGAAGAAAATTAACTCCATCCTAGCCAGACCAAGTTCAAGCAGCCACAAGAGTGGCATCTATCCTGAAAAAGAAGGATCCAGAGAATTGTAAAGAGCTAGCTAGATCAGTCTTATGGAAAAAGAAGAAAGTGTAGAAAGTATAATAGATCTCAATTTGGTAATGTTTTTGAAACTCATAAACACTGAAATAGTCAAATGACGAAAATACGGTCTAGACAGTTACAGCAATGTGAAGGCACGAGTGGTTAGAAAACTATTCCAGGATTACTCATCAGTAGCACCCTGTCAAATCAAAAACGATGACTCAAGTGTGGTTTGAGGTTTTGCATTGAATGCACAAGGTCAGATACCATTCTGTATTCTTTTTTTCATCAATTATGTGGATAACATGATGATGTGCTTATTAAACATGCTGCCAATCCCAACCTGACAGGACTTCAAGCTCTTCAGAGGACCCTCAAATTTAAAATGATCCTAACAAAGTGGTTAAGAGGCCTGAAATAAGAAAAAGTTCATCGGCTTTTTATGAATTACAAAGAAGAGCAGGTAAGCAAGAATAGTAAATGGCACAAATATAGCAGTGGCTTGGCAACTGGTTCACAGAACGTGGTTTGGGGGTTTATCACAGAGCACATGCTGAGCACGAGTCTGGGCCCTGCTGTCATGAAAAACTGGATGTGCGGCATGTGTAAGGCAGACATACTGTATGTACAGCAGATCAAGGACATCCACTGCTGCTGCAGCTGGAGCAGAGCATCCATTTTAAGCATCATATCCCAAGACAAATTAGGGCAATTAGAGATATTGCAGAAGAAACAACAAAACCACTCAAAAGTGTAAAAATTTCATCTAGAAGAAGACAATGAAAAAACCCCAACAAACTGGAACTGTTTATTCTCCAGAAGACTAAAATGAGGCAAGAAATGTAAAAAAAATTAATTTAAAAAGACAAAAATTGCAGAACTATTTATTCTAACACTTACATGCCCAGAATGAAAAGGGCAAGAGTGTGATTATCCTTCAGAAAACTTTCCAGTAGTCAGGGTGAGCCCACAGATAACCCCGAACAGATTGTTCAGGGACATTTCTGGAAATCAAAGATTTTCATTAAGTCATCTACAGTTCTCCTGCCTTGGGGCACAGGAATAGATGAGACATGGCTCACAGTGACCAGGAGAGTTTACTGCCCGTGTTTCTCAAGTGTAAGAACATGGATACCGTATCTGTGTGAATAAACACCATATATGAACAACAGCTGCAATGGATTCTTCCCCCAACATAAAGGACACAAAAACTTAATACTGATATGGGGTTACATGTAACCTAAAACTAAACAACTCATTTGACTGCAAGTTGCTGTGGACAGACCTGTGTTCACACTGCCTGCACTCTAATCCCAACTGAATGCAAACAACCCTTACCCAAAACATGTCGGCACCAAGCTCCAGCTGGTATCAGAAGGCCTGGCTCTGGACTAGCATTTACCTTTTTCTTCCCTCCCACTACACACTTAGGGAAAGAACCGCTTCCTTTTCACGTTGCCTATTGTTTTTAAAAATACAGGCTGATTTTTAATGTCAGAATACAGGTAAGCCAAGCCTGGAGTGCTTTCTGTACTAGTGAGGCTGACTACATCAGTAAAAGCAAAAAGAAACGGTGCTGAAAGGCTCCTCTAGATAAGGCAGTGTTGGAACAAGTGCTGCACATTTGATTTGAAGAGCAAAGGGTAGTACAAAGTGTGTTACCCTGGCTTGGGCAAACACAGAGCATATTAAAAGCAAAGGAAGGCAGACAAATAGCTGCAAATACCACTGGATAAAATGCACTATTTAAAAAAAAATTCATAACTACAGTGTTTTATGGGCTCATAAGCATCTATCTAGCAAGAAACATTTCTAAAATATGCCCACTGAAAAACATGCATTTAACAGCATACAAAACAATGTGGGGATTAAATATTTGCACTTTAGTAATATACTTACCATTCTTTTTAGTATTTCAGAGTCATGGTTAAAAAAAGATTAAATTTCCTTTTATGCCATGACAACTTATACCACTCTCCAATGTACACAAGTTCAAGGATGCAATTAAAAAGATGCATGTGTTGAACATTTGAGATACGACCACCAGCAGGCTTCCAAGTTTAAGGTTGTATATTTTTTGCTAACTAACCTGTGGACTGGATTTTAAACTCGAAATAGCTCTTGTTCTGATGCAAAGGTGCATTGGCTAAGCAGCCTCCTGTGCCACATATTCTTCTGCCATTTTTAACAATGACAACATCTGTTCCTGCAAGAAGAAAAACAACCAAGCCACAAAACTTCAGAACATTTTTAGAAGTCTGGAAGCAGCCCTCAAAGCCCTAAACATTGAAAACAGTTTTTGTTCTTTCTGCCCCAAGTACAAGCTTCATTAGTCTGTAAGAATTATGATGATGGGCCACACTTTGAAGTAAGAGAAGGAAGGCTGTTTACAGGCTAGTTCATCTTTCCACTAGGGTTTATTTATTTAAAATCTATACGCTGATCTAATTTTCACCTCCTGGGCTTTACGGCACCATGCTGATTACAACTTTTGCTTAACCACATCAGAAGCATAACTTACAATTTAGTCAGAAAGGGTTCACTGTGAGACCAAAGCCCTGTACTCTGTCTCTAACATCGGAGAAAAAACATTCTGCAACAAGAAGGAAAAGGGTAGAAATGATTGACGGAATTGCAAGTCATTCTATGCAATAATCCTTTTATTCGAAACGTGCCTGTCAATACAGAGAGAAAAAAAGGGAGTTTTCCTTCTCTGTTGTAAGACTTCATCTCTAGGCCCTGTGGTCAAGTACATGGGAAACAGTTGTTAATAACGATGCTCAAGCACTGGACTGTATCCAATCCATTTCTCCTAGCTCTTTCCCCAGGTCTGGCGCTGCTGGCCCAGACCACTTCTCTCCTCAACAAAGCCTGGGCACGGTTTTGTGGCTAGCTCATCCTAAGGACAACGCTCAAAGGAGCGGCATGGACACGACTCTGCACGGCCTGGTTCCTTCAGCATCTTCACTGCCATCACTGGAGGTGGAGTCACCGTCCCTGGAGGTGTTTAAGGAAAGACTGGACGTGGCACTCAGTGCCATGGTCTAGCTGACATGGTGCTGTTCGGTCATAGGTTGGACTTGATCTCAGAGGTCTTTTCCAACCCGGTTGATTCTGTGAATTGGTGAACTCGTCCCCTCGGCTCTGACCCGGACCACCCTTGTCGGGCTGCCTGTCCCCCTCGGACACTCCCCGAGACCGAGGCGCACCCCCACATCCTCATTGTGCTGATCAGTTTAAGCCAAAGAGAGGCTTTTTTTTTTTTTCCCTCTCCCTAAAAACCGCCAAATCCTGCTAAACAAGTCGCGAAAAAAGCGACTTTCCCAGCGGTTACCCCGTGCCGCGCCCCGGGGCTGCGGCCCTGCCCGTCGGGGAGCCGCCCGCCGCCGAGCGCCGGCCGTGCCCCGCCGCGCTCACCCATGCGCTGCGTGTCCAGGTGCACCGCTGGCATCTCCTTGAGCGGGATGTGCCCGGCGCCGCCATCGCGGCACCACGAGAAGCAGCAGAACACGGAGGCGGCCATGACCGGCCGCACCCGCCGCGCCGCGCAGGCGCAACGGCCGCCGCCGCCCCGCCCTGCCCGCCCCGGCGCGACATGGCGGGCGGGGAGAGGGAGGAAGGGAGGGCCAGGGTTTGAAAAGCAGCGAACGCAACGTCAGAGCCCCGTCTTTCCTCTGAAAGGGGAAATTTAGTGGAAAGGGAGTGCAGCCGACAGGCTGCTGCTCTTCTTTCTCGGCGGTGGCGTGAGGAGACCGCCGCAGTCTCCTAAAGGACGGTTTGTACGTTTGTACGTGTACGCGAAGGACAGTTCACGCACACGGGGAGCACTGATCGTGAGGGGCAGGTGGTAGGTATCGCCCCAGTGAACTTCACACATGGAAAGGAACTCCTTCGTGGAAATTTACTGGTCGGTTATTCCCGGCGCCAAGTCACAAGAATCCCAGTTATTTCTGTTGCCTTCCTCCCTCCCCCTTCCCTTTTTTATTTTTCAATTCTGTCTTAGAAAAGTCAAAAGAGACAGGGCTCGCTGAAGTTAAAGGTTTGCACAGCCGGGCCTGGCAGGTGCACCTTTGAGCTGCCCTTTCTCCTCAGCTTCCAGACATGTCCAGCTATAGCGAGCTTTAACCCTGAGTGGTTTGGGCACTGTTTGCTTCTAGAGTACTTGCTCATCTGTTCAAAAGCTTTAATAGAGTGTATTTCATTATTTACTTGGTTAAACTCTACTGCAAAAGACTGCCACGGTGAAAAGCCAGCATGCTAGTGTTGCACTTACTGTTTTTTTTTTTTTTTTTTTCAAAACAGTTTGGGACCAGATTTGTGTCCATTTCAGAGGCAGAGTGCCATGTAATTAAAAAAGCTGTAGCTTGTGGCCTTTGGATTATACAAGCATTTCTACACCCATTTCTGCATCCCTACGTCACACACAGCATTCAGAACAGGGGCTATAACAAACACAGTAAATAGTGATAAGATGGCTATAGAAGCCCACCTGTGCCTACTTCACATTTTTATTTCTCTACAGAAAAATATCCAATAAATGTGCCATTAGCTGCTGATCTAGATTGTTTTGCCAACAGCAGGTATTTTTAATACTAACATTTAAAAGCTTATTTATCTCCAAACCAGTTTGGAATGAAATTGTTTCTTCAGCTGTTGTGTTATTTTGTGGTATATTACCTAGAAAGCTCCCTTAGCATTTTATTACAGTGTAAAGCACGATGCAGCTAATGTAACCCATGTGGCACAATGTTATCTGCCTTGAGGGCTGGGGGGGGGGGGGGGGGGGGGGGGGGGGGTGGTTAAAGCAGATATTCAGAAATCCTTGTTAAAAAAAATCTTCATAGCGAGAAATAATCTTACTTGTCTGGATGGGTTGTATCAGTTTCACCCCCTTTCCTTGAAACATGAGGTGAAGTGCTGTCTTTCTCAAAATTGTGCCTAAAATCAATCTGATTTTAAGGGCAGCTTTAATATATACTTCCTTTTTTTTATTGGACTTACTGTTACAGCCCATAAAAATTTGGGGTCAAGAACTCACTTCCTTAAAATATGCCAAATGGGATTAATATTGAACTTCCAAAAAAGTAAATATTAGGTGGAAACTGATGTTTATTTACTTCGTATGGAGGGCATCGGAATTCTCACTGGTAGCTTGTTGTTCACATAATGTAAATCACTGTGGGATTTTTATTGCCTGTCACTCACTGTGGGTTTGTTACAGTAAATGCTAAATGACAAATGTTAATATAGTTTTTAAACAAGAAGGAAAACCAATTTAGAAAGAGACTCAACCTCCAGATGATGCCCTGTCCCGTTTTTTTCTGCGTGCCCCCTTAAGTCCCTTCTACTCCAAAACGAGCGCTGGCAATACAAACACATCTCGCCACATGAAGTCAGCATTGCCAAATGTGTTGGACTCAAGGGTGTGAGGCTTTGGGGAGCAGTGGCTGGCCATGCCTTCCTGCCAGTTTCCTGCTCCGCTACTTTCTTAACTTGAGAGGCTGGTTTTACAGGCCAGCAGGCTGCAGCACTCGCGGGGCAAAGTACACGCCACAGCTCAAAAACGTTGCTGGTGCTGCTTTGGAGCACGCTGACTCCAGTGCCTGTGTGCTCAGAAGGCAGGAAGTCTCGGGAGACCAACTCATCCCTGCGCCTGCCCTGTCTCCCTTCAGATGGAGAGCCCAGAGCACCCTGGCAGCAGGTGGTGACGGCTTGGTGTCACAATGTGCAGGAACAGCAGCAGAGATGTACGTGTGCCCTGAGTGAAGGCTCTGGTGCCGAACACAATCAAGCAGATAACAACGGTGGTGTGGTGGAAGTAAGGCAAAAGTCAGCTGGTAAGGAACATGGCTTATTCATATGCCTTTCTTGAAGGATGGGGTGAGCAATACCAGCAGGATAGTACTGTATTTGTAAATGTGCTTGTCAGCTTGTTTGGAGTGTAGTTGAACACCAAAGTTTTTACAGTGCATAAAGAGCTTCCCCAAGGAAATGAAGATCTGGCCTTCAATATTTAGAAGTATAACTGTGTTTGGTAATCAAGGGTTAATTCAGTTTCTGCCTTCCTTGAATGTGCATTTCTTTCACTGGGGAGGCCAAGTATTTAGGACCCTCCCACACTGGAAGCAAAATTATGCTTAGCATGCCTAAACATGCTTGTTGCTTGCAGGGTTTTGACTTTATTTCCTTGAACGGTAGCAGCACAGACATTTTGTCTGGGAACCATGTTAGTAGAACAGGAATACGACCACTCCCATCCGTTTCACAAAAGCAGATATATTTGGAGGATCTGCTGAAAGAAAATGATTGTCACTGACTTGTTTTATTCTCTAGCTCAGAGCTTCATTCACGAAATACAACTGTCTCTCATTAGCCCTGCAAAGTACATCTACTGACTGCAGACAAGTATGTTTCAGAAAGGTTCTCTGATATGCCAGATTTGTGGGAGAGAGGGCAGCTCTCTCCTGTTGTGGCAGCACATAATACAACAATGTAATACCACATGACTAATCAGTTCTCAGAAAAATAATTCGTCTTCACCCTGTTAGTAAAACCACCGGGACTTGCTTCTCCACTGTCACAAGCTTTGTGGAGGCATTTACACCTGTGAACACCAATGAAAAAAAGTAGTTATTATGTGGGCTGGGGTAGATTTGGTAATGTCTCTGTGCAGCTTGCACAGAAGTAAATGACGGTGCAGGACTGGAAAATCAAGATTTGTTTATTGAAAGCAGTCCTTCCACTCCCAGGGTCAGGCCTGTGGTTTGGAAGATGATACAGACAAAGTCTCAGATGAAAAACAGGTTGCGCTTGTACTTTTGAAATCTTCATTATAATGTATTCTTGTGAGGATCGACATTCTGTAGGAAGATTCTGTTTTATACAGAATCTGACACTTGGCAAATCATAGAAGAAATTATATATGAAAATTAATTTGGTTCCTTGTTGTTCTATTTACTTTGGAGGTCACTTCTCCTCTCCTCTTTATGCCATATAAGCAAAACCTACCAGAGCAGTCACAGACCTCATTAAAACTGACAGGCACTCTGGCCATGCTTTGTTCAGGAAGGAGCAGTTAAGTTCCTTCGCGGCATAAGATAGCTAAAACCTAGAAGCCGCTGCCCACGGCACAGGGCTACATGGCCAAGTGCTAAGATGAGCTGACTCGTATGAGCGAGCACCAATTTGGAGAAAGCCAGAGAGACTTTTCTAGGGACTGCTTGCGAACGCAGCAGCTAGAGCACAGACTGGTTGCAGCTGTGTTTGCCTGTGTGCATGTCTGGGACCGGAAACACCACGCAAGAGCCAGCAGACAGTGGGAGAAGCAGTGGTGTATGGCCCTGAGAAAAAGCCAAGGGACAGCTTCTGGGCAAGCATCCTGGCTAGAGCAGCAAACTTGGACTGCCGCACAGTACTCCCTCCCATTTGCTTCCTCTGCGTGCAAGGAAATGGGACGTGGCTGTACATTCTTTGTAAATAAATAAGATTTTGCTGAGGAGCTAACTGAATTCATCATCGATCCCCTCCACCCCCCTCTGCAGGAAAATCTGGCAAAGTCCTGAATATTAGTTAACCGTGTGGGTCAAAGTTCCGTAAGTAAAACTACTATTACTGCTAAAATAGTCACCAGAGACTCTGCAGATATGAAGGCAGTCTCTGAAATTCAGACCTCAAAACGGCAGTTGCAGTTGATCGTTTCAATTGCTGATGATCCTTCTTGGATTTTTTAGTGGCTGGTATTTCTACAACACATATTAAAAGTAGCTTTTATAAAACAATAACAAGAAACTGCTTTCTCTGATCCCTCATTTGGAATGTTTAATAAAGTCCAGATGTTTCTGTTGAAAAGAAAGGTAGTCAGATGTGATATAGCTGTGAAACGTTTATATATGAGTAAGGTATTTGATACAGAGGGCTGTTTTGAATAGTTTCTTTATTTGTGTTATTTTACAGCGTCTTCTTTTCAAGCTGCTATTGGCATCAATGCTCTTGCAGATTTATGTCCGTTTTTAGGTACCCACAGCAACTACATTGTCCACCTCAAACTGAGGGTATGCTCGTCCCAGCACAGCTGGATAAAGCAGTCTCCTTCCAGAAGTTTCTGTCCTGACACTGGAGTGTACTCTCAGTGTGCTCTGACACCTCTGTAACAGGACATGAAGCCTTAGCCTCCTTCAGTGGGAAGTAAAAGGCAGGTTTGCAGCCAAGAATAAGACTGTAAAATTCCCTCAACTTGCCTCCTCTCCTTGGAGTTTCACCCTAGGAGACAATTGCAATCTGACAGATCTTTGGTAGCATGGCTTCAGAGGTGCCTTACTGATGGGGAATACAAACTTGGGAGAAAAAGAAGGCAGCTTTTAATTCCAGCTACATTTATCAATCAGTTCTTCTCCAGCACAGCACAGCAGGTGCTTGGGGCCAGGAATGAGCAGCTGGTGTGGCCGAAGGGCAGGGCTGTGTTACTTTTGGCAGTAGTGCTGGCAATAGCTGGCTGGAAGCATTTGTGAAATT